CAGCCATGCGCGCGCTCTCTCTCTTTCTCTCTCTTTTCCTCTCTCTCCCTCTCTCTAGCCTGGGGCTTGAATTTGCATGTCTAATTCATTTACTCACCATATTTGAATTGGCCTGAACAGATGTAAATCGGAAAGGATGGGAAAAACTGCAGTCATCAACAATGATTAATCAGCTGTTGCAGGCAGTGTCTTAAGGAGACTGGTAGGAGGAGGCATGGAAACCAAAAGGCCGTGTGTTTAGAAGCCTAATTGTCACATCAAGCATCATTGTCCCCATGCAACAACCACCACCTTATACATCACTTCCTGTTTTAAGCAGCTCTAAAACATAGACTGAAGATTTATTTTTAATATGTTGACTTTATTTCTGAGCAAAGCATCAGTCATGTGTGTATTTTTTCATAGTCCCACCTTGGAGCATTTATGTAGACATTGTAAATAAATTTTGTGCAAAAAGGACTGGAAAAATGAACTGTATTATTGCAATTTTTTTTGTAAAAGTAGCAGTTTGGTATGAGTTGGCATGCATACAAGATTTACTAAGTGGGATAAGCTAATTATACTTTTTGTTGTGGATAAACAAATGCTTGTTGATAGCCTTTTTCTATCAAGAAACCAAGGAGCTAATTATTAATAACAATCATTGCACACTGAGTCTTAGCGTTTCTGATGGAAACAGTTTGGATTGTATAATAACGCCAAGCCCAGTTGTAGTCGTTTGAGTGCAGTAATGAAATCTGAATCTAAAATAAAAACAAGATTATTTTTGTCATGCTGACTCCACTGCTTGAAACATTTGTTTACTGCCCCCCAGATTTTTAAAGATTAATGCAGTAAATATAAAAATTAATTTTGGCTCCCTAAGCCATATATGTATTTGACAATTTTAACCACAAAGTAAGTTATTTAATAATAACCACTGATTTCTTTAAGCTGACTTAATGAACTCCTAATATCAGCAAATTTGAGGCCTAAAGGCACTAAACTAACTCTAGACTCAGAATTACATCCAACAGAATTACTCATCTAATATCATTGAAATTATTCTTGCACATAAAGGCAACCTAAGTACAAAGTTAAGTCTTTTACTAAGGATGTTACCTAGGATGAGCAGTATATGTTTATTAGGAAATTAACTACACGAATTGAAGAGACCAGACTTCAAAATCTAATTTTTATAAATATGCTCTATGTTCTCATTGGATAAAACTGGTTATTAACCAATTTTCCAGAACAGCTGTACAAGACTTCTGCATGGCAGCCGGCTAAATGGTACAAAATAATATGTTTAAGCTGGAATAGCTTATAATTTTATTTAAATAAAATTGCTGCTATAAAAAGTGCTTCCCAAAGCTAAGGAAAATATACAAATATTTTAATTAAGGCAAATTCGTTTTAAAAAATAAACCTTTTAGCAGTGATTGCTTTGTAAACAAAGGATGGGTCGGAGGAGAGAGAGCCTTAAACTCAAGTCTGACATTCAGGCCCAAGTCACCCTATAAACCGGTCCTTAGCAATTCTATTTTCTATTCGGAAAAGAGAAACCAGCTGTGGGTTGGCTTTACTAGGTGATGTGTGATTGACTGACTCACCTGCTGGAGCAGCAATGCGTTCTCACCTTTTGCTGGTGTCTAAACACGTGGATGCACAGACAGCAAGGCTCAGCCTACGCAGCCATCTCTGGCAGCGCCTCTACCCCTCCCCAGCCCATAGATGGGATTGTTTAAATCTCCCTTGTTGACCCAGTGGTAATTCTTCCTCTACCTAAATAGTCGATATGAGTGAAATCATTCTCTTTTGATAGGTGGTTACTAGCAGTTAACAACCATTTATTTACTTTAAAAATTAATAATAAACTTTATAAACTAACCGTTTGTTTGCTTCTCCTCCCCAGTACATGCCCGGGTGAGTTGGTTATTTTCAGCCTTTATTCCTGAGGAGGCTCAGGATGGGTGGGGGAGGGAAAGAAAGGGGAGGAGATGTGGTGGGGAGAGAGAGAGAGGCGGCGGGGGGGGGGGGGGGAGAGAGAGAGAGAGAGAAAGAAAGAGAGACAGAGAGAGAGAGGCCCTAGGGGAGGGAGGTTTACAAGTGAAGAGTAGTTAGGGAATATGGTGACTCTGAAGAATCGAGACCAGTAGTGTCCAGGAATTAGAAAAAAGAAACTGCTATTTCCGTGCGTTCCCCGCTCTGTGAGCCATTTAGGTGAGAGCCTCGCTCTTCGCAGTTCCTTTCTTCCCCTGCCTCGATGCCCTCCCCTCTTAATGCTATTTTAGCTTTTCCTCTTGTAAATTTCAGAGCCAACTCAGAGGTTATTGAGGACACTTATCCGAAAGAGGCAAATAATAGAGGTGCTGAGAGTGTTTTTGATGTTTCTTAAAAGGCAAAAACAAAACGCCCTCCTCTAAACAAGGGCACAAAATTGTACCTGGTTTTTATTTTTATTTGGTGGAGTGGGGAGGGGGCTGGCTCTGGCTGAATAAGACTACTTTTTAGTATGATTTAATTTTTTTCAAAAAATTAAAAAATATTTTACTCTATCATATTTAATCAGCTGTAATTATAACACATTCAAAATGAATAATATGCCTTGACAGTATTTTTATTGTTATTGTTCATTGCATGATGTTCGACTGCTTTAGAAGCACAGGAAAGAGAAGTAAACGCGCTACAAATGGGGAATTACCCTCGTTTAGCATTAAAATTCATTTAGATAAAATTGCCACAAACATTTAAATGGGAAGATTAGTTCCCCCTCACGCCTTATTGCACTCGCTCAATGGTTCCGTTAAGAACATTTTACACGTTGGAAATTCCGTCTTCTCAGACGGCTTGCTGTTTCCTAGTTACCCACATTCAAAGCAAAGGCAGCAGCAAAGGCAGCCGCAGCAGCAGCAGCAGGAAAAAAAAAAAAAAAAAAGTTTTGGCAACTGGTCTGCAATTCATCCGCTGCTCGCCCCAGTCTCCCCTCCGCCCACTGCAGTCTGCCCCCACCCCTTCCCCTTCCCCACCCCTACCTCTTTCCCCTCATTATGTAATTCGCAGAGTCCCGTCCTCGAGGAAACACGTTGCCTAGTTGTGTAGTATTTATATACAATATTAAAATACAAAGAAAGACCCCAAAATCAGTCGAGTCGGTTCCTCTCTGGGTCTCCCTCTCCCTCTCCTGTTCTAAAATGAGGGTTTAGCTTGAATGTGCTGAGTTTCCCACATCTCGTACCCTGAGGCCACAAGGCACGTTTTTTTGGCTTTCGTTTCTGCCAGGACTTTTCCAGGAAATTCACCACTGCTTTTTGCTTGCATTAGAAACGTGTGAAAGAATTAGTTTGAAAAGTCCATGCACCGTCTAGCTTTTCTCCCCCCTTTTCCTCCTCCTCCCCTCCTCCTCCCCTCCTCCTTCTCTTCCCCCTCCTCCTTCTTCTTCCTCTTCCTCTTCCTCTTCTTCTCTCCTCTCTCTCTCTTTCCCTCTCCCCGCCACTCTCGCACTCCCCCATCCTCCTCTCTCCCCCTCCCTTCGCAGAGCCACAGGAAAAGAGGAAAGTCGGCTTCGACTGCCATCTTTTGGGGATTTGGAAAAACGACTCGGTAGGAAACGGAGGGAGGCGGAGGTGCGGGAGTGGGGGAAACCCCCTTACTATCCAGTGTCGGAACTGGCTCCCTTAATCTGATGCTTAAATATTTGATGTGGAAAAATTACCCATAAAATTAGTTACTAACAATTTCAAATTGAAATCACTTATCGAATTATAAACGCATTAAAGCTGTATGGATGGTATTAGGAGTTCCTCGGGAGGCAGCGGGTGTCTCCTTGCAGTGAGCGGGGTGGGGCAAGTTTCGCCCCGGGGAAAAGCGCCCCCAGCCGAGCCCGGGGGCAAGGCCGGGAGGGCGGCGCGGCAACCTGGGCGCAGGGTCCGGGTCGGGGGGACCGAGCGGGCGGCCAGGTCCGGGCGGAGGCTGCGGCTGGTTCGGCTCGCGGGGGCGGGGAGAAGGGGAGGGGAAGGAGCCTGGGTGGGAGGCTCCGACCCCGGAGCACAGGCGCCTACCAGCAAACTTCGTAGTGAAGTAGAAGGATTCTGAAAAGGAAAAACACAAGCCCTGCCCTCCCCCTCCCCTCTCGCGTCTCCCAAGCGTCAAGCAGACTTCGCGCTCAACTTTGCGATCGGGGTTAGTTGCTGTGTGCAGTGTCCCCCAAGTGTGCGGGAGGAGCGGGAGGGGAGAGGCTCCTGTCCTGGGGTTGGGCCCGGCTCCGTGCCGCGAGTGGAAATCCCGCGGGCAGCTGCGCGGAGGTCCAGTCAGGACGTGCTACCCCTGAGTCCCACGATGCGCTGGGTCCCGGCCTAGGCCCAGTGCGTGGGCGGGCAGGTCTTTGCCCGGAGACCACAGCTCTGGCCGGGGGCGCTGCACAGGCGCCTGCCTTACCCTCCTGCCCTCTCTTCACCCCCATCTGAGAGTATAGTCTAAGGGACTGTTGACTTTGTCTCTGGAGATGGGGCGACCAGGGGTCTGCGAGGGAGGCTGTGGAGAGGCACCTCCTGGGTGGGCGTCCTCTTTCCTTGGAACCTCTCGGAGTGCTTTGTAGTAGCCCGGAGACTTCCTAAAAGACTTTGCCATATCGGGGCCCCAGACTCCAGAGTTCCATAGTGGCCCTGGGAGCGCGACCCAGAGAGCCTGGGGACTCGAGGGCACAGGGAACGAGCGCACGGCCCCCTAGGAGGGCGTTGGGCGGGGAGTGCCGGAGTCTGGAGCAGCAGCCGAGAAGCCGTAGAACGCACCCCGACGTCCTAGGCAGAAGCTCCTCAAGATCACTTTATATGCTCTTCAAACTTTGCCCAGCCTTTCGGATACCCGCAGGCCCTTGGCCCATGGGAAGGCAGTAAAAACGTCACTTCATGCTGCAAAGCTCCGGGGTAGGAGCTTGGACGCCGATGGAGAGAGGCGTGGAACTGGGTGGTGGGGCGCCCTGCCTGGCGGGGCACTTTTCCTTGTCTCATTCTCGTCTCCCATGCCATGCCTTGCCCACTGGCTGCTAGCGGCGCGTTTCACCTAGGTTGGCCACGGAGAGGAGACTACGGGAGGCTGGGAATTCCAAGGTTTGGGGAAAAAGTAGTGAGCGAGAAAGGGGGGGTCAGGCAACTGAGGAAGACAGCTGCTGGCGGGGAGAGGGAGGGCTCCCTTTTCGGCCCGCTGTACCAGCCAACGCGTCTGAAACATTCTCTCCCTAGGCGGAGCTGAAAGGAAAAACAAACAACGTATTGAGCAATCAGTTCGCCAACGTTTGAGCTTTAAAGAGCCTTTGCTCTGAAAATAGTACCCTGGGGGTCTCCGTCGGGAGATGGGGGAAGCACTTTTAGGGCCTCGATTCTGGCTTGCCGCGCCCTACGGGTCACCCGTCCGCACACTGCCTCCTGACATGCCGGAGCGCTCAGCCCACTGAGGGGAAACCCGGGCGGTGAAGCCCTGGAGAAAAGGGATTTAGTTTTAAGCCAGTCTCCCATCGATCGGGTCGGTAATTTCTACCCCTGCCCACTCTCAAACACACTCACCTCTACCCTAAAGCATTAAGTTCATTACGCGAGCAATGATCTTAATCTCCAGGCGGAAAACGAGTCCCGGGACCTCGCCGATTGGGGAAGCAGTGAATAAAGTCACCTGCTTCGCGCACCCGCTTGGCCCGCTCCTCCCGGTGGGGGCCGTGTGTGACAGGGAGCGCCGAGAGGGGGTCCCTAACTCCACTCCGAGGAGGACCGGGCAGGGGTCAGAAACCCTGTGTCTGTT